AAAAACCTAATCCATATCTTACAAGTTACTATTGTTAAGTTGTGGGCAAACATATCCAGACGACACAGTGATTCTTCCAAAGCAGCTCTTTGTTGTAAGCTGGAACAGAACTAACTGAGGAGCTCAGTCAGCCTGCTTATATAGAGCTCCAGAACAATGTAACTGTTGCCATTTTCTAAAACTATCCAATCACTGAATGACACTTTTCGATCCTTCATTTGCATACAAACTATCCAATCACTGAACGTCACTTTTCGATCCTTCATTTCATAACTATCTACAGTATCCCCCTGCTGGCCCAGGGTGAGAACTTCAGTACTTAGCAACTATTATAAACACTAAAACAACAACAACAAGACACTGACTTCCACCAATCCCACAGACCTCCTTTATCTCTCATTGTGTCTTCCTGTTTTCCTGATTTCTTTATCACCTCTATCCTAACATCTAGATATAAATCCCTCTTTCATATCCTTTCACTTCACAAGGTTATTCCAGACTCAGCCAGATTTCTGTCCTCGAACCTTGCCTTTTGAGGTATTCATTTAGGCACTCCCATTCTTTTTTTACTTCACTTTTTGGTTTTTGTCTTATTATGTCTGTCAATTTGGCTAATTCTAAGTATTCTGAAAGCTTACATAGCCACTCTCCCCTAGTGGGTAACTGATTCCCTTTCCAGTACTTAGCCACCAGGATTCTTGCTGCAGACGTTGCATATAAGAAAAATTTAGTTTTGTCTTTTGGAAAAAACTAACGTTGGAGGTGAGGGAGTGGACCTGGCAACAGAACTAAAACAAGCTGAGCTAGCCAAAGAGGGACCTGAAGCAAGTTTAGAACAGGAGCTATTCCTGGAAAACCCAGAAGCCATGTCAAACGAGCCTCCTTTCCCCTCCCTATCAGGAGAGAATTTAAGGTGCCCTTCCCCGACTGAGCTGACTGAGACAGACAAATGGCCAAACAGCTTAAGGTTACAGTACCCGAACAACTTTTTCTTCTACTTGTCAGGGATGTTCGAAGAGTTACTCAAAACTCATTTCACACAGATAAGCAAAGAACTTGAGCCAATTAAAAATTTCCTTTCGGAAAGCTTGAATCTGCTTACCACCCTAACTGAATTGATTAAGAACCATGAGGTCGCTTTCCCTCACATGACATCTGGGAATAGGACTAATGGAGGTGAAACCAAGCCGGGACTCGATTACAAAAAAACAAACAGAAACAATTCAGTGCAGGAGGGAGGTCCTTGCTCCCAAGAAACCGACCTTAAAGAGAAAATGCTCAACACAAAAAACGAAGCAGACCAAAAACATCAAATTGAGAGGCCAAAAGGGAACGCCGACCTGCCGGACTAAAAAAATGAATTTCCAGAAGCTCTTTAAGCTGCTGGAGAATATAACAACAAAGAACTCTGCTCCTACAACCCAAAAGAAAATCACAAACTCATGCACGCCAATAAAGCACTCTGAGGAAAAGCCCCACGCCCCAGCAGATCACTCACTGCCCTCTAGTGGGGAAATAGGAAAACCAAAGGAAATTCCGGCTCCCATTCAACCAACCCTTCTCTTGACATCACAAAGAAATCCCGTGTACCCTAACATAACAAGAAGGGATCAAGATAAAACAACACAGACTTGTTGGAAGCTAACGTTAAATAATCACAAACTTGCCTTCACAATACTTTCCACAAATAGAGGACACCCATCATATGCTCAAAGAAAAGTAAATATTCCCGAAAAAATCGGAATAGTCACCAGAACAGTGACAACAGAAAATATCATCAAGGTAAAATTCCTCCCTCGTGATACGGCCCAAAATAGGGCTATAGTGACTTTTAAGGACGGGCTCTCAACTAAGCAGACCCTTTCTAATAAAGACAATTTCCTGAGGGCTGGCTTGCTTGTGCACCGTTTCTTCGAAAACATCGAAGACCCTTTACCACTTCTAGGAGCACATAGGCCAGTCAGACCAAAAACCAAAACCAGCACTGCAGAATCCAACCGCGCCGGAAATGGTAAGCCGCTCTACCCAGAGGCTGGCAATCTTAAACAATGTGGCAGGCTGTGCAAAACCCGGCCCTCACCAAATAAGCTAGAAAAGGATTTCTCCTCAAAGGATGAACAACTCCTAACAACCTACCTCGAGCAGATCCTACTTTCCCAGGATGCACTAACTGAAAGACTTTCAACCATAAGAAAGTCCCTTCCACCTCTAGCCCTACCTCCTCCCATGGAATTTAATTACATCAATTGCAAATCAAAGCCTTTAACCAACGAGGAATGGACATCTTGTCGATATCTGTCTCCAGAAGAAACGGGCTCTCCTACACAGACCCCCATAGCCCAATCCAAATCGCAACAAGTCGAACTAGTGGTGCCAGCGCCGGGAATCGGCTCAATCTTCATGGATTGCCTTAGAATCCTAGAAGCTATTCATGCAGAGGAATGAAATAAGGTCTTAGCGGGTGACGGCCTGGACGGACAAATTAATACCCCCAAATTAGTCTTCCCCTCAAAAGGCTCCCCCATTCCTCCGCATCGTGGCTCAATCAAGCCAAACTCAAAGGACCTGAGGAATCAGCGGCAGAAAACAGCTATGAGAGTCTGGAATCTAAAAACCCAAGAATCAACTGCTGCCCTAAACATCATCTCCTGGAATGTTGCCGGCTGGTCTAGTCATCATCATCATCCTTTTTATTCGACCGTCAGTCAGAAAAAAGTACATTTTATCAATACACAGTTGAAAACATCCAGGGAGATTTTAAAACTTAGCCAACATTAAAATGGGCTTAAAAGCTAAAAAGAGAAATTTGGCCACCAAGGAAGGTATAGCTCTAGTGGCGTTATTCAGCAAGTATAAGACCTGGTTTTCTCCGGGTAGGAAGCTGAATTGACATAGGAGTGGGTCTATAAAATTTTGTCTAAGCTCTGCATAAGAAGGGCAAGTCAAGAGAATATGTTCAGTGGACTCAACCACACCCATGGCACAATGACAGGTTCTCTGGGCGTATGGTACCCCCCTGTACCTTCCCCACAATATCGCAGAGTCAAGGACATTTAATCTAGCCGCTGTAAGAAGTCTACGGTATTCTACATAATGGATTTCTGCAAGGTAGGGGGCTGGTATGGTCCGATAAATCTGGTCCCCTAGGAACATCCCTGGTTTTACCTGGGCTATGTCCTCTTGTCTGGCAATGTCACTCAGTCTCCGGGAGATCGCAGCTCTAGCTTGATTGTACGTCATAGACTCAAAGTAAAGGTGAGACAATCCGCAGGATTGAACCTCATTAATGACCTCCCTTTCCCACGATGATTGGAAATCGTCCCTCAATATCAAGGGGGCAATACCCACTGGTTTAAAACAAAGCTTGAGCCATAGCCAGAGCTTCGTCTTCAAGGCCACATACCGTAGAGCTTGCCAGCCGACCTCTAATCTCATAACCGCTACCGAGGGGGGAATCCTAAGGATGGCTCTAAGGAATCTCGTTTGGATAGAATCCAGTTTCAAAAAATCCCTACGGGAGCCTAAAGAGATGCCCACCAAAAGAAGGGGGAGGACTTTCATTTGAAAGAGTCTCAAAGCTATCTTCACTGATTGAGCCTGATTCTTAGCATATAGAGATCTAATCTGGATGGCTGCTTTAGATGCATTAGTTGTTATATAGTCTCTATGGGCCAGAAAAGACCTATTTGATCGTATTACTTGTCCCAGATATTTAAAGCAGTTAACCTGCTCTAGGGGGGTCCCGTTCATCGACCATCGATGGAGTCTCGGTCGGGCAGAGAAGACCATGATCTTGGTCTTAGTGCCGGCTGGTCTAGATGCCTCTCCCATTCTACAGACATTCCCTTCTACCTTCAAAACTTTAACATCATCGCTCTCCAGGAGACTTGGGCAGCTGAAAACCCATCATTGGAAGGATACTATAAATATGCAGTGAGAGCGGTTGCAGGCAGAGGACCAGGGAGGCTCAAGGGGGGGTTATGCATCCTAATCTCATTCTGCTTAAACACCACCTGTAAGGAACTGTCCCCCTAGATCACCTAGCAATGGCCCTACTCATATCCTGGGGAAGCTGCAGTTTACTAATTATCAATGTTTATATTCCCCAACAAGCAAAAAAACCGATATTGAGGGCATCTGGAATAGACTGGACTCTTATGTCAGGTTACTGCTAACAGACTATCCGGGAGCAAAGGTCCTGCCGGTGGGCGACCTAAACACAAGATTAGGTCCTGATGACCCCAGTTTAGAAACCAAATACAGGCAAAAAATAGGCTACCCTGACGACTTTGGCCCAGAAGCCTTACAACTACCAAGGCAGTCAAAGGATCAACATTCAAATTTTGCTGGAGCCTGCCTCCTCAAATTCTCTAGGCGGCTAAGTTTTCATACCCTAAATGGTCGCACCAGGGGCAACATTCCCAGGGAATATACATTCATGTCTGGGGTAAGATCCAGCAC